CTTCGTACTCCTCGTCGTCGTCAACGTCCATCCATCTGGACGCCCACTCTGCCTCCCGGAGCTCCTCCATCGCCGCCTACGCACGCGCAAGGTCCGCGTCCGCAATCACGGTCTGCAAGAGCAAGCCCTCTTCCTCGGCCTTGGTCATAGCCGGCCGACCCGCGAGGCTCAGATTAGCCTGGAGAACCGACGCCAAGGCGCTAGCCATCATCGCTGTTGCCGTCGATATTCGCTCGAGCTTGGACGGGTCGACGTCCATGTCATCGCGAGCGAGTTGCTGGGTCTGGAAGGCGTTCGAAAACGAGCTGGCTGCTCCGAAGAGCTGCCCGGGAGGCGCGGGGGCGGACATCGCCGCCGCCGCCGCCGCCGCCGCATTGCTTGCCACCGCCGCCGCATACCTTGCCGCCGCCATCATTCCGCAGGAGGGCTGCCCCGAGGGCACCGCGCAGAATCACTGCCGCCGGCGCCGCTTGGAACGAGAGCGCGGCGGGGGGCATCACTGCCGTCGCTCCCGTCGCCACCACCGCCGCCGCCGCCGGCCCCACGGCCGACCTCGACGCTGACGTTCCGGCCGCTGGCGCCCCACTCGCCCCGCCCACCCTAGGCATGCTCGGCGAGGACATTATGGACGGGCGGGCGGTAGGGCCGGCCGTGGTGGTGGGACTGGGGTGGGCCGGGAACCCGACGAACGCCGACGTCGTCGCGTGCAGGGGGCGACGAACTGGCGGCGGAGCAATCGGAGGGGTGGTGCTTGCCGGGGCCGGCATCGTGGTGGGACCAACGACCTGGGGTTAACGGAAGGGCCGATTGGGACCGTTTTTTCAGTTGGTAATGATGATGGTAGCATGTGGCGTATACTCCTGGGGAGGGCTCTTGGCGTAAAATATTCTACGTGTACGTAATCTGTTGCACAACCCGCTCGAGTGTATGTAGATCACTTGATGATTTTCAGTGTGTAGCCTACCGTAGACAACATTTCCGTGCACCTAAAAATTGCTCCGCGAATCTGCGATGGTGTCGACCCCCCAAACAAGCTCCAATTAACTAGCTGCTTATCTCATTCAAACGCCCTCTACCCACCCAGGGCGCCTCCGAGGGCTCACGCCACGGCGTACGAGAACCCGCGCGTGTTGAACCGATCAACACGGCCTCTCCACTCGCATTATTCGACTATTATCGTTGTGTTGCTGCAGAGACAATCGTGACGTCGGGGCTCTCTGCCGGCTGGCAGTAGTTCAACGGACGACCGCTTTCGTCTTCGCCACACCTTCTCTCTCTCAACTCCACGTACACGGGTGGCCAACACACCAGGTTGTAGGGGCACTTTTGCCAACCTCCATCTTCAATTATTTTGGCACGAGTCGCAACCTCCCCACCTTGGGTAATCGTTGCAACGCAACGATGGCCAGGTTGTGTAACTCACTTGCGTGTCACAAGAATCGCAGTGCCTCGTGACGAGCTCACGGTTCAATGAGCGAGGGAGCTGAACGACGACCACAAGGTGACCGGGTAGCCACGAAGTTGGTCGTCTTCATCCTCAAAAGAACGTGGTACAAGAGGAAGCTAAAACCCCATCTTGGGTCGTCCAAAGCCCCGATCGATCGTCATTACGGCCAGGACTTTGAAAATTCTTATTTTTGCACCCCCCATTGACCTCGCAATAAATTACTGTTCTGTCTGAATTCCTGTTTTGCCTTTTGACTGTCCACGCCTAGGCGAAAGTGGAACTTCGCAGCCCGCTATTCTCACCAGAGAAAACAGGCTACGCAAATCCGACAAAAACAATACAACGCAAGATGCGCCCCTCTTCCTTCGCCCAATAAAGTCATACAGCCATGATACATATGCATCTATGCTATGTCAAGCATGGTGCCGCATCAGGACAGATAGATACAACAGACGGATCCGGCGTGTCACGCACACAAATTCACAAGATGGCGCTTCTTTCCGCGTGGATGGATAGACACAGCTTCCGCTACGCACGACAACGAATAAACAGCCTTACCACAATTTGTAACCGTACAGCCAAAAGAAGCCTTCGGCTGATCGGTGCGCTCGCCGCCGGAGGAATAAGAGAGTGCCTGCCCGATGGGCACAGATGTGAAAAAATGCAAGACAGCAACTGCACACACATGAACAAGAACCGCGCCTTCCGGCTAAAAAACGCACGTATGCAGCGCGTGTAAACGCTTTGACCGGCACCAACAGCAAATGTATCTCTGGAGGCCGGGCGGGGTCCCTCCAACCAACCGGGAAACAAGCTTTCCCTAGGACACGCCGAGACTTGTGTGACTCCGCGCGGTAGGGTTGAAAGGAAACAACGAGTGGAATTCGCGCCTACCTCCCCCGCCTACCAACAGCACGTTGCGCGCCACGCACAAAGACACACGCCCAAAAATAGAGAAAAAGTAGAGTGTACTGCACTCCACGCTGTTCGGGACGCGCAGGTCCCTTCTACTACTGTATACACAGACCAAACAACCACGCCTGCGAATGCGGCAAGATATTTCACCGAAAAGAAAACAAAACGGAACATCTGGGGTGCTAACCCCGTGCCCAATTCACGCCACACGAGAGGCAACCAAACCCTTTGCTCCACCCCTCAATAAAAAAAACATCCACTCAGAAAACGACTGCATGTAGTGCCCAATCGATCCGCCCCTTATTTTACTGGGCTGAAGACGCCAACGGACCTACAAACGCTCCCATCATCACCATCACCACCACCAGCTTCACAGAACTTCGATCGAAGCCGCAAACGAAAATACCCCAAGGTCAGTCAACGCGAGCCTTCCTTGCCCCCGTGCGCTAAGCCCAGAGCTTCGATCGGTACCGGACCTGCCCAACCCATGACGGGACTTGAGTCTTCAGCAGGATTGGGCAGGCTGACGCACCTCACCAGCTGACATAATTCCAGTATCACCACCACCACCACCACCACCACCACCACCGGCCCGCGAAAATCCCGCATACCGTTCCGTTTCGGATGCGAGGTCAACGGCCTAACGACTACGGCATGCGTTTACATGATACGTTTACATGATAACACACCCGCTTCTCTCTGAGTCACCGTTCCCCCACTGGCTTCAACCGAAACAAACGTGTGGTATCAAGTTCGATCCCCACCCACCACCCGCTGCACCTGCCCGTCTCCCGTCATCATTTCAACCGCCCCTATCCCCCCCCTGCTATGCCACCAATCACCCCCTGCTATGCCACCAATCACCCCCTGCTATGCCAGGAACATGAGAAGAACCATGTCAATCGGCTCCTCACGTCCCCTATCCCGCAGGCCCTCCCGCTGTGCCAGGAACACAAGAATAACCATGCCCACGGGCCCCTCATGTCCCCTACCCAGCAGGCCCTCCTGCAATGCCAGCGAGTACCTCCGGTAATGCTAGGAACCATCAGTCCATCGGCTCCGCGTGTCCCACACCCGGCCGTTAAATTTCACCCGGTGCTGCTTCTGCTGCTGGATGATGCGCCCTTCGCAACGGTGCTAGACGCGGCTTTGGCAGAGCTAGCGGCCTTCGCAGCTGTGGCCTCTGCCACCACATCCCTTAGCCACGGGTGCCGTACCGCCTCATCTAGGGTCATGCGCTCCGAGGGCTCGACTCTCAGCAGCTGGGAGAGCAATTGCGGCAAGAAAGTATGCAAACAACATTGGCATTTGTTAATAAATTCGGGATGAAAGCGTGACGTCATTTTTGGTGGGAAGGCATGTATATTGAGATATGTCCGGCGACCAAAAATAGAATAAAAAAAGGAGGGGGGGGGGGAGTACAGATGAAAAACACATGCTGTAGACGTTCGACCATTTACGTCGCATCCCTATAATATCGGGACGGAGCAAAAAATAAACAGCGAGGAGATACCAGAGACACGAGTATCAAGGACGCTACTACGTCTGGCCCTCAAGCCACTGAAAAAACAATAACAAAAACAAAAACGAATAGCCACCCCGGCAGGGGAGCATGTACGGAAACACCAGCCGGCGGTTGGTCGTTGTCTGCTTACCCTGGAAACGAAGTCTTGCGCTTCAGCGGACACCACCGGGTCCTTTGGGAAGGCGTAGGACCCTCGCTCGATCCGTGACAGCGTGTCAGCACCGCCAGACTCGCTGTTGTACAAAGGACAAGGAGATCAAATAAAAGGTTGAGCATGATTGTGGATGACATGCTGCAACCATTGTTGCACGTACACAAGTAGGACTAAGATACGATCCGAGCGGAGGATCTTACTGATGGTTGATCAGCAAGAAACTCGACTATGGATGCGTCCCTCTCGGCGCCACCTGCGGAGCTTGAGAATCCGAGACCCTCGGGCTTGGTCTCCCTCGCCCCTTCGGCGGCACTCTCTTGTCTCTCTCTTCCGAGACCCTCTCCTCTCCTCTCTAATCTAAATCTCAACGAAGAAAACTGCCAGCCCTTAGTACAAGTAGTGGGGAACGACTACTGCGACCTGGGCCTCCCCACAACGAGGGAAGCCTGTGTCCTCATGATACCCTAATCACAAATTTCGCAAAGCATAACCGAGGGTTCACCGCCGTGGAATACTATGGTATTCTCCAACGTCTTCAATACGTGGCCGGCAACACCAGCCTCTTGGAGGTGGAGGAATCGCAATTCCGAATCGGTTTAAAGGGGCTGCGATTAATCTCCTCGATGGAAACGGCAAAAAACAGCCAACGGAGGCATGCCTGCACCGGGAAAGTTCGAGAGACAATTGCCTCAAACACACAAAAAAAAACAAGTACGGAAAGCGACGGCAACTGTAACAGAACCACCCACGACAACGAACAACACCACCCACCGCCATCACGAGACCAGGCACTAACTGCCGCAACTCGCACCTGCGGAAAGGGGAGTGCCCCAACAGGAACTCATACGTCACTACGCCTGCCGCCCACAGGTCGACAGAGGTCGTGTACGGCCGCTCCATCAGCATCTCGGGGGCGAGATAGTCCTGTTCTTCACCAAACCACCGTGGTCAGGCAGAGAAATTGACGGCACGAGTCGTGAGACAGGGCGACCGAATTCATTTCTGGCCGCTGGCAATTTCAACGACAGGAGAGGTAGTAGTCCTGGATGGAGGAAATGCTGTAGACATGCAGACTACTAGCCCAACATCGAGCGAATTTTATCCCACAATAAAAGCCGGCCAAACCATAGCAAAACATGAGCTCTCGCGCACAGCCAAAAGGGGGGGATTCAGCCCATGCCCGCGCGACAGCAGCTCGTACCTATTGGGCCAAACATACCCACACAGAAGGAGTGAAAATACCTACCGGAGGGTTTTAACCAAAACCTTTCGAGACAAAACTACACAAACAATACGGAGTGGTACAACTCAGCAATAAACACGAACCTGGGTCCCGCAGATAGTTTGACGAGTGTCGTAATCAGCAACCTCGATCGACCAGCCGAAATCGCAGAGCCGAAGGTTTCCTGGAAGCGGAAATAAACACAGGAGAAGTGAACAACGAGCCCTCACTAAAACTGTTCCAGAGGGGGAACAGAAATAGCCACGAAACTGAAGAGCAAATACTACATAAAGCTGCTCAACAGGGGGGACATCTCGCACTAAATCGCTAAGTGGTTACATGTTTACCCCGAACAATCGCAGAAGGCGAAAACCGAACGATACCAGGGAAAAAGAAAACTTCCACAACAAACATGGGCGCAGAACGAGAGTCTGTGAGACACATTCTGTATTGATTCCCCAGCCTTTTTTGTTGGCAGGCTCTCCCGCTGCATGGTCCCGCGGACAGAACCCCTTCCCAATTCAAGAACGCATCATCGAGTTTCAGATCATAGTACCCCGAGTAGTGTCCTTTTGATCTAATGTAGAACCTACAGTGTTAAGATGTACAGCATATCCACTATGCTAGTTGTACTTTCGTTAACGGGTATAGAACCAAGCAGCTGGAACCAAGTGCTTTCGGGCACCGCCTTGTCCAGGCACTACACCAAACACAGCACCGCCAAAGAGAAGAACACTGAAACAAGTCCGTCAGATACTAGGCCTTGTCCAGCCAAACAACTGTTAGACCCCCCCTCGAGCACATCATAATTCTTAGTCGAAGGATGGAGAGACCCCCTCAACGAAAAATCACAAGAAATGAGACCGCAACGCCACCACAGCACGTAACACGTGCAGAAAAAACAACTGCTGTCCCAGCTCACCAGCCTTGTCCAGCAGCAGGTTCTCCGGCTTGATGTCCCTGTGGATGACGTTCAGCCCGTGCAGGTATTGCAGCGCTCGCACCAGCTGGAACATGTACCGCGCCGACACCGACTCCGTGAACCGCCCCCCCGGCTGTGCCTTCATGGTGCGGTATAACTCTCCCTTCCTCGCGTACTCCATCACGATGAAGATCCTGGGGGGCAAGAAAAAGTTCAGAAAATTAGATTTTGGGGAAACGGCAATGATGCAAAGCCGTAATAAATAGGAATGTCTACACGACTTATATCTTAGATCAGGAGCAACGCCATTGATACAAACCGACAGCAGTATCGAACCAAGAAAAGGCTTCATGACGATGCGAACAAATCTCTCCCTCCTTCGAGTTGCCCTAGTCGAAAAAAAAAAATAACGTTGGGGAAAAAGAGTGGAGAACACGAACAAGGAAAAACAGGCCCCATTGTCAAATCGGGGGCGTTGCCTGAGTCATCGATCTGGAAGCAACTTGCTTACTCACAACAACTTGAAAACGAGTCTCGTTGCTCATGGCCGACGACTCCCAAAGCAAGCCGCTAACATCCAAGGGTACTGAAAAACGTGGACCAAAAAGAAGAAACTGCAAGCGCTTGCGAAAAAGACGGTAAAACCGATTTGCAGGACCCTGTGTACCTCTTTTCGTCGTAGAAGTAGCCGTAGCAGCGGACGATGTTCGGGCAGCCCGACCCGTAGTTCACGTGGATGTCGATCTCGGACTTGACCTGGTGGTACACGCCAGCCGCCTGGTTTCGTCCAAAGTTCCGGAGGCGCACGCCAAAAAAAAGCTCCAAAATTATGACTCTCCCAAACTCGAACACGCCGTTTTCTCAGGGCGGCCATCACAATTTGCGGAGCCCCCTGGCTTGTTACCCCCGTTTACACCAACACATACCATCACCGTTCCGGCGAACAGAAAGATTGCCGGGCGTTCGTTCAGCAATAAGTGCGTGTTTGAACGCGACACAGAGCGAGTACCGGCTGGCCGACTCAACAATCACACGAGAGCATGCCCTCGGCGAGCTTACGGTCCTCGTTCACGCACGACGAAAAACATGCGACTGCTGCGTGGCGTGAAAGGCAGGGAAGTCCAACACCGACCAGCATTCAGCACCCCTCCACCCGGGTCAAACCATGCGATGCTTACGCTCCCGTACCTTCAACCGCCTGCTATACTGCCGTGGCTCTCTTGGTAGTCTTTCTTGGATATGATATCGACACCGAAGCATACGTGCCCTTGCCTACTCGTAAGCTAGCCCAATCGGCGGGGATCCAGTCGTGACCTACTTGCTGTACACATGGCGCGGGACGAGACTCTCACCTCTAAGTCCTTCTTGAGCATGATCTTGAGGGCCAGGACCTTCATCGAAGCCTTTTCCCGCGCGAGGTACACATTTCCTGGGTCGCCGAGTATTGGGAAGAGAGAGCGAGCCAGAGACAGGGCGGGGGCGTCGCCGCGACCCATTGGTGGATAGAGAGATAGTGAGTGCCAGTGGGAGAGAGGGGGGAGTTGGGGGGCCGGGAGAGAGAGAGAGAGAGAGAGAGAGAGAGAGAGAGAGAGAGAGAGAGAGAGAGAGAGAAGGAGGGAGGGAGGGAGAGGCCATTGCGCATGCAATAAAAGATAAGGCAAAAGAGGCATAACGAGAGAGTGAGGGTGAGGTTGGGGGGGGGGGGGGGCGTGATCTGGAATTGCTTCTCGTCAGTGAAGATAAAGATGTGCCGCCAAAACGGAGGAGAGGCGTACGTGGGTCTACGAGAGCCAGGAAAACATGCCAAAACAGATTTTCAGCATGAAAACAGAAGAAGAAAAAACAACGCACCCACTCAAGCTCCAAGCCCGTACGTACTGCCAACACTCACGCCTACGCAAAATAAATGGATTGTGACGGGGAACTGCTTCGGCCCCCGAACATGAGTTTCGTCATGATTCGATATCCTCATGCGCCCTGATAGAAGCGACCATCACCAGACCAAGCACACCAAGGAACACAAGAACGTAAGAGTTCCAGCGCCCATGCTGGCCCCACTACCAACGCTCAGTGCTCCGTCTCGACCACCGCGTTTCGCGTACAAAATGGGAGCCGCGGGGCTGCGCACACAAGCGAGGGGGGGTGACTCACCGAACCTCCCCTTCCCGATGGGCTTCCCCATGGTGAAGCACGACAGGTTCCACCGCTTCCCCGTGAGGCTAGACCCTCCGCTAGGCTTGGACAGCGTCGTGTTGAAGCGCTTCTTCTCCGCGGACAGGCGTGTCGCTGCTCGCTGCTGCTCCGGCGCAAGCCAACCAACAAGCCGCGGAGGACAAAAAACACAGAGAGCAACATCGCCCAGGGAGGAGTCTCAAGGGGGGGGGGAGTACGCATGAAAACGCATGCCGAAGTCATCGGACCATTGACCTCACATCCCTATACGGCCGGAACGGAGAAATATGCCAGGCTACGTTTTACAAGCACGAACCAGAAGCCGACCCTCACATTGCGTTTGCTGTGCCAAACCAGATATCCTCATGGGCATCCTGGCATCCCGACTAACCAAACGTTTCACATTCGGTAGGCACGACTACCGTACAAATGCTTCAAGTACCGCAAGGGACTTCGATCTTCGCACGCTCGAATAAAGCAGGCGCGCCACATTTTTTTCCGTCTTGAGGGGGACTACAGGATGCGCCACCAATCTCGAAGCTGGGAACAGTGTCGACAGGCCCTCCGAAACATAGCAGCCGTGCGTTCTCGCCCGCAGTCAAGAACTGCTGCTCATCGCAGAAAATACATGTCCAAGGCTGCCGTGTGGGGCCTGCTGCACGCGACGCGCTTTGACCTCTTCTTCCGCACGAGCGAAAAAAAAATCCGAAACAAGTTTATCCTGCAAGGCGCTTTACCTTGGTTCGGGAGACCTGCTGGGCCGCGGCCACCGCGCCCTTCTCCGCCGTGTGGCCGTGCTGCACAGGCGTGTTTTCGGAGTCCTCGCGCGACGGAGTGCCTCTGCCGGCGCCGTCCCCTCGAACGGTGGACTGTTTTTATTTCGGAACGGCGGCGGTGCGGTACAGCAGTGCGGGGGGTTTTCGAGTGCCGGTTGGATAGCGCCGGTGGCCAGTATCGTGCAGGTAGACACAAACTGAATCATCAGACCATTCTGTACTTTGAGCAGTGCCCGTGTCCGCGTATACAGAAGTTGCGACGGTACTTCTGGGGGGACACATGCCGGCACTAATACAGCCCCCCCCCCCCCCCCCCCCACTGATGCGATACGGATACCCGTACGATCCGAGTACCACGAGAGAGGCGGGGACGAAGAGTACGCCACTTTTAGCACAACGAGGCACTGCTGCGACGAGTTCGTCGGTGTCGCAGTTTTGGCGTTCCTTCAAGTTGAGAAGCAGGGGGAGTAGCGGCTGGTAACACGCGCGTTCACCATCCGCCTCACCAAGATACACTCGTCGGCGAAAACATACAGCAAACTACTGGGGATGTTGTCTAGCCGCGGGGGCGTACGTACACAAACATCGAGGACGACAGAGAGTGCATGCCCCCCGGTGACATGGGAGACGTCAAAAAGGGTGAAAAAAAACATGTGTGTGCCACCAACGCGCAGCAACTCTCTGCAACAGGTTGCCATATGCGTGGATCCTTAGCGAACCGTTGAAAAAAAAACGTTGTTGCGGTCGGAGCCATGTGGTACACTCCGAGCACTGGTGGTGGCAAAAAGTATTTTGTGCGCATCTGCGCTCTGTGTCGGTGCCGTGTTTTTAGTGCCTCCCACGGAGCAGTAGAGAGCAGCACCTCTTGCAGCGCGATACGTACAAGCTTGCAACGCAGTCATGTCCTATCCCCACTCATGTCCTATCCCCACCTGGCTGAAGAGTACTCTGGCTCTCTCGCTGTTGCTGCCACGATACTGCTGTCGTCGAAACATTGATCTAGAGTAGGGACGCTTTGGATTGAGCTTTAGCGCCCACTGGGCCAACTGAAATACCGCCCTCGTTGCGCGTTCAACGGGGTTGGTTGCCTGCAATAAACCTCTGCTCTCTTGACGGCACGGTCCATCTGTGTCGGCGGTGTGTGCAAGTGTCGTCTGCAAAACCGCAGTGCTCGAGCACCTTATTTTTGTCTCATGTCTCGCTCAGGCGTCAAGCACACCTAAAACCCAAGGCGGTTGTTATTGATATTGGCTTGGCGCCCTGACAAACACGGCCAATCTTGGGAAAGGAGGATACATGTAAATGATAGATAATAATCCTTTGCTGGTAAGTGAGAGGTGTTGTGTTGAGAAGCACGATGACCACTACACCACTAGTCAGCGCTGACTGGTGGTCTAGTGGTCATCGTGCTTCTCAACGAGAGGCCAGGGGCCGGCGGAACCATCGTGCCGTGTTGTGCCGTGGTGTGTGTATTTTTCATTAGCATCGACCGCGCTAACCGGCTGACCAATGAAAAGACGTGTTGTGTGTGTGTTCGTCTTCGTCCGCCGTAGAATACTGCAGTATAATAATAGCAGACAGGATGTTTCGATTTTACTTTTTTTCTGCGACTACAGCAAATCTGTGCGTCGCGGAACACGAGAGAGGGTGCGCGAAAGCTCCTCTACCATATGCTCTCTCTGTCTCGCCCGCGCTATGGGTACCCGCCGTGACCGATCGTCACGGAGAGTGTCCGTATCAGCCTGTCGGCGTGTATCGTACGCATCGTACGCATACACGAGTCAGGGCCCGTCCGCGCATTGGTTGTTGGCACGACGGACCATAGCACCACGGGCTCTCAAACACCACGTCCTCTCAAAACGTCATTGGCTGTACGCCATACAACCACGGCGGTACCAGCTAATAGTTACGCATTGCCACGGATCTTGGCCCTTTCTAGGCACGGGCATACTCTCTCTCTCTCTCTCTCTCGGCCTTACCTTGGTCTTGCGGGCGCGCGTTGGCGTGGAGGTGGCATCCTGCTGTTTTCTCGAGCCCCCCATCATTCCGGGGAGGTCTTGAGGGTGCTTTTGCTGCTGCTGGGAGCTGATGTAGAGGTTGTCGACAAGACCGCCGAGCTCTCTCATAGAGTTCGACATATCTCTCTCTCCTAGCAATGGCAGCCGCTGATAAAGGTCCTCCGTGTGCCTAGCTTGCTCGTGTCGTAGCCTTGGTGCCTTGCTTGTTGTGCAGTGGTGAATTTGGCCGTTTGGCATTTTGGGGGCTCACAGAGTATATTCACCCGGGTATCTGCACAAGCATTCTAAAATGTTTTATCTGCGAGGACCCCAAGCGGAGCGTTAGCTGTGCTCTGCTGCCGTGCTGTCAGTAACTGCTGTTGTTCTACTACTGTTGTACCTGCTGACGACTCCATGGAGCCTCGAAGAAGCCAACGCCAAGGCGTGATGCGCTTGATGGCCACCACATTGCTAGTCGCGGTCGATTCAAGAGCGTTCCTTATCACAACGGTAGTGCCTCCTCGACAGCAACATGCGCTACAATCCAAATTGCAACATCAACCCTACCTACCACAACACCTGACGCGACGCTCGGCGCGTGATTGCGCGGAATCACCAGACGTTTGCGCAATGCAGCAAGGGACTGCTGGCGCCAGCGGCTTGTCTGCCACTCTCCCTGTCGACGCCGCTGTGACGCGAACGGAAGCTCTGTCTGGATTTTTCCAGGCAGTCTTGCTGTCCACCGCGGTACTTGCGAATCCTCCCGACAGCAACTCCGATGGCCTCGGCGTTGTGGATGACTTGCTGGCGGACTGCCCTTCGGTGAGGCTCCTGGTGGTGGTTTGTAGTGGTGGCGAATTGGCGTCTGTGCTACACATTGGCTTGATATTCTGGATATTTTGAAAATGACTCATGATGCGAGATCTGAACCTACAGGGGGCCCGATATAAGGCGGTGTAGTGCGTGGTGAAGGAAACCGCCTTATATCGGGCAGCCGCCTCATACGTGTATAAGGCGGTAACCGCCTTATACACGGTCTGAGATTGGCCCAATAGGGCGGTGACCGCCTTATTTATGACAAATGAAGAAATGAGGTTTCAGCGTATTGGGCATCACCTCACGGCGCGTCGCTGAGTGGAAGAAATGGTCAAGCGTCATGCATTCACGCGTGCGTGTAGAACGAGCAAGATTGCTTGCATTTGTTTAGAGTGTTGTTTGCAGCGGTATGTACGTGTACATCTGATGCCGTACGACCCCGCTAGGAGTGTACAGCAGAAGGTACATCTGCATCCAACTATACCGCCGCACAAGGCTCTGGTAGAGTAGACGAATAACGTGTCCAAACCAACACTTCTCTTCGGTACTGATGCGAGGGACACCGAATATTTTTCCTTCGTGAAGAACAAAACTTAAGCTAGCCAACATGGACGCACGCAATAGTTGGAAAGCAATCGTGGCACCGCAAAACATTTGCATTCGCTGCGTCCATGACGCTTGGCCGGGTTAAGCACTACTTGCCCCGGCGCTTGTACCTCTGAAAATGCGACCACTCTTTGCAGCACACCCTGCTCTATGAAAGACAACAGCTGAGAGAATCCGTCTATCCGCCTACAAGAACTCTCTCATGTCCGACTGCCGCACGGGCTTAGACGCGTGAGCTTTGATCATCGCCACTTTGGCCTTCTGAAGGTGGAAAACGGCTTCGCGATTGCCGGACTCCCCCGCGGCCCTTTCCAGAGAGCCGAAGTGTTGGGAGAGTTGGCTCAGTGCATGCTCCGGGCCGACGGCGTGTGTGCAAAAAGTAAGAGTGATGTGTCCGCGCTCGTTCGCATCGAATTCCTCCGCGTAAAAAAATACGGTTTCGTGCGGCCGAACACAAAAAGTGTGTGCGCGCCTACAGTAGGGTTGTATTCCGTTAAGCCAGGGTGTTGTGTTGACCACTCCTTCAGGTGTCTTGGGCCACAAAGGTACAGGTGTTTCAGAGAGGGGCGTAGTGATGCGAAGATGATCACCGCCTTATATCGGATTTTACTTGGGTAGTTACCGCCTTATACAGGGAGATTGCCTATATAAGGCGGTGCCGCCTTATATCGGGTCTGAGTTGTATGCGCCAATTTCAGCCGGCCTATATCGGACAACCGCCTTGTTCACACCGCCTTATATCGGGCCCCCTACTGTACCGTTTTTGCCTCACCCTTTTCCTGACGGAGTATACCACCCTCCCTGGAGACGATTTTTCGATTGTTCATCTCAGCTGTACAAGAGAGGGGGGCGTGGCGTAGTTTTTTTTTAAATATACAGAAGAAAAAAGTACAGGTTCGCGTGTTGTTGTTACCATTGGCTCATTTACACCACACAGCAGCAGCAGTGTTGAGTTGTGGGGGCGCCATGAGTTGTGGAGCGTCATTTGGTACAGAGAGTGGGGTGTTCATCATCATCATGAACGCGACCCGCACCTCAAGACATGCGGCCCGCACACTCAGCACGGAAACGCGGCCCACATATGTATGCCTAGAAAGATCCCGGGGCCAAATTTGGCCCGCACCTCAAATACATGCCAAACGTGTATCACTCCTCTCGCTTCCTCCGTCGATAGCAAACAACAGCATTAGTAGCAATAGGGCACACTCTGCTCCCGCCGTCTCATCCTCTCGCTGTGTGGTGCGTGTGTGTGTGTCTCCCCCCCTCCTTGTCCATGTATGTATGTCTGGCTCATATGCATATGTCTGCCTCCGGGTGTGATGTCTTTGCTGCGTGAGCCTACGTACGTCTGGTCAAACAAGCCTCCTCGTTACCACAGGGACGCCTGAATGCGACATTCTGGACAGATGCTGTGCTATCTCAACGCACCGACATCGGATTGAAAAGGTAGCAGTTGGGACAGCTAGGGCAAAATATTACGTGTTGTGCGTAAGCCTTAGATTGCAATTTAGCGCCTAGATGGTGAAATGGGCTCCAGTCTGCTGCGTATTTATGGCAACCTGGTCACGGACAGACACGCATGGCCTCGTTTTTGGCCCCGCTAGGCACCACATTGTTCCGTTTTTTCGCGCATACACATCATGCACACGATCCTTTTCAATCAGCTTTTTTTGCAAAACAAAAAGCGCACCCCTGTACGGGCCACTATTCTCGCAAAAAAATCTATTAAAACTACGGTTCAGCAAGGGGGCACATCTCAAAATGTCCCTGTGAATTGAATGGTGCGAGACAGTCCGTACGTCCGCGCCCCGTGTTCGCGCCACGCGGTTCGTCCGCGGGACAAGGAATACCACTTCGTGGCTTCGTAGTGCAATAAGCGCTTTCGATTCCCAGGTGTGTAATTGGTTACTTGGGCATCAACCGTTGCGTGATGAAAAGACGTCAGCCTTGGCGGGACCAAGAATGTTGCAACGACGGTTAGAAGTCCGCGGTTTCCCTTATTTGATTATCTGCGTTCGTACGTGTGAAAATACCGTAGCCGTCAGCCATTGGAAAGTTAAAGTTAAAGCTGTCCGTGAACCGTCGTTTCTCGGTCGCAAAGTGTACAAATCAACATCTGCCGAAAAAATCAACCGCCGCAACGACTCGGCTTGAACCACGCAAGCGTTTTGTCCCACACCAGCTACAGCAACACCTAAAAAGATAGAAACACGTCGTCTCGGGCACCGTTACACGCGCGATCGGTCCGGAACCAAACGAGATAAGCCTTGTCGCCAACCGAGATGTTGCCCTGAGCTACGTAGCTTATTTCTGAAAAAATGAATTATGTTGACATATGTTTCGTGGCAGACTCCGACATGCGTGAGCTCCCAGGACGACAGACCGTACCCGTTCATGGAGCCTTGGTCGTACGACGGCCCCTTCGAGCGGTCAATGAGCCGTCTGCGGAACTACCTCGAGTTCAATGGCGCGAAGGTCAGTTTTTTTCCTCGAGAGTCTCCTGATCCCGCGCAAAGTTACGAATGTTGCGGCACTATTTGCAGATTCTCGACAGGATTTTTGCCTGTGTGTGCATCAATCGAACAAACTGCCGGTTTCATGTTTTTCGAAAATGTTGGAAGTACACATTATCAGAGAAGACTGCCCGTTCGAGATAAAGCCACAGTCGAAGGGATGGGTTACAGTAGTGAGCGGGAGAAAAACTAACTTTTAATTGTCCACTATGTTTTGTACAGACCGCCCGGCCGTTGTAAGAGTTGTCAGAAAATCAGGAATGAGATTTTGAAACAGGGCACGCAAGTGTTGAGCCAAGGCGCAGAGAGCAAGAACCTAAATTCTACTTATATTACAGGCTCATGCACGATCTTCGCCCGACAAATCAAACCCCACCGGGCCATATTTCACTTTTCTTGTGAGCCGGCCGGCGATGAATCGAGTTACCGGAGGTGTGCAAGATCAACGCGTATTTTTCAAGGCAACACCTACGAAAAAAATGCTGAGCCGATGTACCACGGCCGTAGGTTTGCGAAATCATTTCGTGTTTTTCAAGATAGCATCGACGAAAATCAACGGCAGCAGGTGATCGCATCGTCCCCCCGTTACCTGCGGGTGGAGTTCGAGGCGGTGAACGCGATACCCGCTTCGGTAGACGACGCCGAGTTCTACTTCACCCCCGGCGATGCCCTCGTGCAGTTCCGGTGCGCCAGGAGAAACGGGCCCACCGACTTCGGCGCCAATCGGCGGCGCATGGACGGCATTCGCCAAGCGCTCAAGTTCGAATCTGTGAGAAAAATAGTGCGGAAGGCGGTCGAACGATTAAGCCGCGATTTCCTCCACCCGTATATTGGGACGGACCGCCTTCGGTCGTGTGTCGAGAGGCGATGTGCCACCGCTTTGCTGCACAACGGCAAGAAATGCCTCTTGAGGGCCACAGCATGCATGTCTTTGGGAAGTTTTTTGCCCCCAGACTGGCATCGTCGCTTGTTTTGTCAACCATTCAAGTCCGGAGTGGAACGACCAAATTAATCGCGCTTCTCTCCATGTCAATCGATCGAGGGAGAGAGAAAGATAGAGAGAGAGAGTGGGAAAACCAAAAGGGTGATTTTTGTCTTTTCCGCGTACATCGATGCGAAGGAATCGCAAGGCGAGATTCGTCATCGGCCCTGTCTAGGCCGCTCGCTCCAGGACCCCGCAACCGTCGCGTGCTGCCTCGCTCCCTCTCTCTGACTCTCGTCGTTTAATTGGTGTGGCGGCACCCGTGCGGCACTATCCTCCGTGCTGATTTGCTGCCGTGATCGTCGCTGGTGCCGCTGCCGCCGTTCGAGACAGATCCCGGTGCTGCGCAACCGTAAGCGCGCCCTCTTTTTCGGCGAGAGCCCCATCGATTCTTTCGGTCCTTCCTTCGGAATGGTGAGGCAGTTGCTCTGCACGGCGTGTGCCGTGGCATGCGATTTTTTGCCAAACCCTTGTGCGTGTTGTGGTGTGGGCGTACTGCTCCCCGCCATGTTGAAATCTCGCATGCGCACTGACCCCAAGCGTTAAGTAGTGAATCCGCAGGCACATGTGCAGCAGTGCACACACGTACAGTGCGAATGCACGTGTTCGCGTTTGTCTATGGAATGCTACTGCGTGGTGTCCCCATGTCACACCGGAAGGCCCGTCAACTGCCGTCGAATAGCAGATTTATGGGCTTGTTGCTCCACATATTTCGACGTAAATTCTTCTAATATTTGCGCCCCTGTACGGTGCTTTCGTGTATCGTCTTTTAATCCTTTGACTTCGCACTCAAGATGCTTCCTAACGCGTTCGCTCGTCTTCAAATGCAACTGCTATATTCGGGACGGCCAGGCGGATCCGTCTGTGATATACGGGGACGCAGATCCAATGTCCCCGCCTTTCGAGACGCCTTCTGACGCGCTGCGCGAGCGGTACGGGGAGGGTGGAGGGGGAGCCGACCGGCCTGCTTGGTGGGGAAAACCGCTCGCCGAGGCCGGGGGGTTCGCAGACTGGAGGCAGATGCCGTCCCCGGAGCCGGCATGACATTTTGCGTTGTCGGACTCTTCCATGAAAAATTTGAGGATGGCCAACTTTGAGCAAGAGTGGAATTGTAGAGAGTGCTGGGAAATGTGGTGGTGGGCAGCAGTGAATCGTCTTTGTGTGTGTGGCCGAAGCAACCGTGCCTTCTAAGATGTCCTGAGCGGTATGTAGCTGTAGACAATGTTACATGGCTACCGAAACAGGCGGAAAGATGGCACCCCGCCCCTTTGTATTGAGGGGAGCACCGTAGAGCAGGGGGCAGGGGCTACCATCATCGTAGAGCAGCAACAGTGTAGCTACGACGAAGTAGAGCGCTCGGAACACGAACTCCAACGTGACCCCTTTTGTACCACTAAATGGTGGAATACTTTCTTAGGCGATGCCGCCTTTGTGCCTGTACTCTTTTGGTGCATTGTGATCACGTACTAGATGAAGAGGTCCTCTTGAACAACGGTTTTCTATAGTATTATCTGTTGACACGCTGCTCAAGCGTCAAGTTGAAATCCACCTTGATCCACCCAGAAATATACAGCTGGAAATATGACCTGTTCCCCCCGCATGGGACCCTCGGCGTAGAACAGGAGCAATTTCTGTCCTAACAGACGGATCCGTACCGACATAAGAACTTTGGAAATAGTAACTCTTGCTCATTTTCCGGCAGCTAGCGATCCTCGAGCCTCACGCAAAAAAGCGATTCTAAAGCGGGGGCGCCCTCTGTATTGGTGAACAGGGCGTGATTGGTCGACATCATGCTCCTAGTTGCGAGGCCGTCAAAGTTCACTCTGATGTACAGTGCATGTAGCGCCTACAATGTGAGCTCATGCCCTCTTCATACTCTATGCTTCATCTTCAAAGCTTGAGGCTCAATATTCAACTTACTCGTGGAGGTCACAGCGACCTCGCTGCACTGGGGAAACGCCACTATTCCGGGTCAAAGACGGTGACGCAACCCCACAGTACCTGCCGGCGATCCGCAACAGTCGGCGCCCTACTTCTACCGGACCCGTTACTGCCGTACTACCACACTTCATCCCCTCCCACCACCCCGCCGTGCTCGAAGATTGTCTGTCCGAAGTTCGGCTCAAAGCCTCTGCCGCTTGCCGTGAACGAGGAAGATCGAGACCCGCCACCCCTGCTGCTACGGGCAGTGGACCCGCGTGCCGTCGACACGCTCGTCGCCGTGGAAACCCGCCCGTCGTCGGTGGAGAAGCTGGCACTGGTCGGTCACGAGAGATTGAGAAGATGGGAAAGAGTTGGAGAGTCGAACAGGGACGAAGAGAGAACAGGAAGGATTGCCGTTAGCGAATGACGAGGTCACCGGCCTCCTTTGCTGAGGAGAGGTCGGGTACAATCCGAGGTAGGAGGAAACGACGTGATGCGAGAAGCGCGCCGTGGCAGGGGGTGGAGAAGGTGGTACGTTCTGACGATATGTAACCCATCCAAAGGCAGCCGAACCATGCCGCAGAAGTCCTCCGTGAGGGTGAACGACGTTGCTGGGACGACCGTAACCATGGGCCTAAACAACTAGACGAGGGTTGTGTGTCGTGCACACACGGCGGCGAGTTCGTTCATCGGACGTTTGAGTGCTGCTACTTCTGCCGTTCCCGACCGGTGGGCTCCCCTCTCTGATAACCTTACGCCTACCATTCTTTGCAATTGGCATTGCCCGCTTGCGGCAGCAGCCCCAATTACTCGTGTGATTTTGGGAAACATCAACCGTGATAAAACTTGCATCAAGCAGCACACGCGGAAAAATCGATATCTTCCTTCGTTTCACCTGTGGCCAAGGGCTCTTGGGTTCAGGCGGGACGGCGGCAACGCGAGCTCCTCCGCATCATCGGTCGCCGCAGAAGACGCACCCACTGGTTCCTCTTCGCTGTCGCGTTGTTCGGGGTTAACCTCGCGTCTGCGACCAGGTGCTCGTGCCGCCGCTGTTTCAGCCCTAGTGTGAACGTTGCGGTTCGGGTCGCCGTTGTTGATACTGCCCTTCAGCGACGACGTCATGGGTCGGGCTGGCGACGTTGAAGGCAGGCCTGCTGCGGTGGCCGTCCGTGGGCCTCCAGGGTAGGAAAAAAGATCGCAGGAATCGTCGCCACCGCCGTTGCGGTGGTTGCTATCGCCGTTCTTTCGTCGTCGCCCGCGACAGGTCATGGCGCGGATCGTCATCTCCTCCTGGGTCATGAGCGTGAAACGAGAAGCACGCTTTGAGTCATCTTCTCTCCGTTTCCCCGGGACTACGTCCATTGTTTCCTCGGTGGTGGTTTTACCGGGGGCCGATACATGTGAAAAAGTTGAACCTGTGTATCGCAGTCCACGCTACTCTTTCAACATGGAACATGCCAAGGCGCGTGTTGATGTCTGCCGATATCTGGAGTGGTTGCACCATCGATGTGTCCGGTTCGCCATGTTCAGCCCGGTTTCCACAGCAGGCCATCGCACGGAATGGCCGCCTCGTTCTGCATGTTCCGTCGGCACCTTCTGCGAAAAAGGTCTATTTTTTGTGTTCCAAATGCTTGTGCTGAAAATCTGCGCAAATAACTACTTTTTGCCTGGAAGCCTAGCCATCGATTTCGTTGGCATGCGAGTCAAACTACTGGTTGATGGCTAGACCACCAAGTGCATTCCTGGTGTTGAGAGCATCCACACCTGGGATTCGCCAACGCCTTCCCTGAGGACTGTTGTTCGCTTCATACCACCCGCTGAAATTATATGTGTATGGCCTTCCTTCGATGCATTCCAATTCAAACGTTTACATGAATGAACAGCCTCCTTCGTCGTCTAGGTAACTTGGCAAGACGAGGGGAAGCCATTGACACGAAATAACGACCGCAGATCGGCCCAACAGTCACGCGACGTTACCTTTCTGATCTGAGCCAGAAACTCCGCGGTGCTGGCGCTTATCTTGGGCCGCCTGCGTCGTCTCGCGGACGGTTCCCTCGACACGTCCCCCGGCTCGTTGTTGTTGTCGTTGTTACTGCGCCCTCGAGACTTGTTGTCACCGACGGACTTGCTCAGAGTTGTCGACCCTGACACGGCAGCAACACGGGATTCAACACGTGGTAAATCATAAATATGTTCAGCTTCCCCATGACTTAAAACGTCAAAGCACCGAAGATGCGTGCTTGGATCATCTCCTCCCTTCGATCCGGCCGCACTGACGTGCCTCAGAGGTAGAGAGCATTAAATAGGAGAACCGTAAACTGACGGCCGCTGCTGCCGCTCAACACACAAGATCGAGATGGACAAATGGATCCCCACTTTGTTTTCGTTCTCTTTCCAGCGGAATCCAAACCGCGTGGGTGAACGCCTGGACTTAATAGGAGTGCGTGGCTAAAATTCCCTCGTTTCAAGCCAAGAGCAGGTGACCCGAGGTCAATTTCACTTGATTTCCCACGGCAACACCCGCGAAACCAGTTCTGTACTATTAATAATACCATCTGGAAAAGAAAAACCATGAAAACAGGCGTTAAATTCGGCCGGAACTTACCAACGGAAGTTGCCGGGTCGTGGTCGTCCATGTTGTAGTCGTCATCGAACGGGTCGTACATCAGACGAGGCCATACGACCTGCGGACGCAAGAGCGGGGGGTTGGACCGGCGGAAGAAGGGCGATGCGGATGAGATGGTCGTTGACTCCTGGAGATGACGAATGATATGAAAGGCCCTGTTCGAGGACGAGATCATCCACCCCCTGCTTCGTTGAACCCCGTCGACTAGCCCCTATGCCACAGCACTGAGCCTGACCAAGACCATAAGCTACTACCTTTGCGGCGGTCTGCTCGATGAAGCGATCTTCCAGCCTTTGGCGAAAGTTCTTCTCCTTCAAATCCGCGCGATGTCTTTGTCGCTCTGCTTCAGCCAGGTTTTTGGCCCTCTCCTCTCTTCCCATCCGAAAGAATTCGTGCATCAGCTTCGTGCGTGCGTGTACGCGCGTGTGCGTGTCGGCAGCAAGGGTGAAGGTCTTGTGTTGAGCATAACGTTGGAAGAAAACCATAGTTGGATTTTCTGTTGAACCAAGGTGCATGTGGACCATGGCAACAGATCAGAGGAAACGCACCACACTTCCCATTGGAAATGTCGTTCGAGTTTGACCCCATCAACACTGATACCTGCTTTCAATCTTTGGCATTAACTAGTGTGGGGCATGCCGGACTTTGCCATGTACGCAAGCTTGGCCCGCAGAGATATCTTTGCCCAACCATCATTTCATGCTGGGATCGGGCACGACACAAAATACGCCGCTCCGTCGTGAGTAAGTACCTCTGTTCCGTCGATGAGCTTGCTGTTGTCCTTGTCGAACGCGGTAAACACCGCGCCTAGCTCCCCCGGTCCCAAGCGCACCCGAAAATTCATCAACAGCTGCGCCCGGAACGCCGTCGGGTCCATCTTCATCTGCCAACACAACAAAAAAGACAAGCGAACATGACCAGCTAACTGCAGCTGGATCGTAAGCGCACGATTACGAAACGGTGCTCGAACAAACGGTTTCGTAAGCGTCCCACCACGGTGTTCAAACATACGCGCACGGCGCCGTCGCGGGGGCTCGAAACGGAACAGATATGAGGCTGCATTCACCAGCAGCCATGGGAAGTACTGCAAACGGTTTTCCCCGGAGAATGATAGGCCGTACATTCTTCTAGCTCGCTTCCTATGTATTTCCCCGTCTGTCAGAGGGTTCGCCCCCTGTCCACTACCTTCTGCTCTTTGGCGTCCGTCTAGCCCTGTCGAATATACTCATCTCGCCGAAAACAACGGCCGTCCCGCTCTAGAACCCCGACCAATTTCGACCACCCATTGTTTCTTCCCTGCCGCTTTACACGTGACTGCACAGGCGGACCTGAGCTATTCGGTTGATGTCCGCACCGAGCCGGGCCTTGTCGTAAGTGCTAGCAGCGACGGCGATCATCTTGAGCCCGCGCTTCAACTCGTCCTCGGAAAAGCTCCAGTTAACTTTGCACTGTCGGTAACGAGTCGCGAAACGGAATCGTGTCAATTTTCTCACTTTTTCGACAGGTGGATATGAGGGAAATACAAATATGGGTAGGTCAATCGCGGAAGATGCTAATGGTACACGCAGCTGCCATTGGCAGCCCTCGCTGTCATTGGCAGCCAGCCCTATTTGTGCAGCTCGACTAATCGTGCGAGACCTTGTGCAGAGTAGCGCAGAAAGCTACAAAGCTGGTCAACGAATGCGCCAGCCTGTTCTGTCTCGGCTGCTACGTTAACCCGCCACAGGACACAAGCTGTCTTCCGGTAGTTACCATACCAGCTCAGGGGATAGTGTGGCCCGTTGAAAAATGAACACCAATGAAAAGCAAAACCTTCATGCTGAGGCGGACTCTATTGCAGATGAAGCCGTACCTTAGATTGCTCCCTCAGCTTGGTCAGCAGCGCCTCCTCCTGCTCCCGATTTCTTCTCCGCGCGGTTTCGTTCCGGGCTTGGCCTTCGGCGACCTTAGCGGCGTGGCTGTCCCTCGCAAGGGTGTGAAACCTTCATCGGCCACACGACGACAAAAGGATTCATTCGCAGACGGAAAGAGCGAGAACCCAAGATCAAAGTTTATCGTCTGGCCCTTATATAATGTTCTCTGGGCTCCGATTGTTGTTTCGGGAAAATGCCCATGACGACTGATGTTCATATTGATGATAAGCACTTGTCCTCAACTTCACAACCAGTACTATAGTGGTACCATCGCTACCATCGCCTGCGACTATACCACTTCATCATCGAAACGTACACCACCGCCATCATGTGTACGCCCACCTGAAAGCAAACTCCTTTGCGTCCACCATACCATCACGGTGCAGATCGAATGCTGATATCAGACCCCCCACCTCGGCCCGTGTCAACCGCAGCCCGAAAATTGTTCGCAGCTGCTCGCGAAATGTCGTGGGCCCCATCATGCCTGTAGTTGACAGAAACATGAAAGACCGACAATCCAACAATATGTCATTTTTGTTGGACGTCGGATAAAATACTGGTGCATCTGCTGCTTGCGGGACACTACGTTTCGTTGCCGGAGAATCACACCAACAATAGTCGCAGATACAATTCACTCCGGCATTCGTTACACCGATGTCATGCGGAATAGATTTACGGTGAGCATGTCTGCGAAATCATGAGCTGTACGAGCACCTCTCGTGATGTGAGTGTGGAGTGAATATGCTCAGCACACTAATTTGATTGATTTCGCAGTTGCGTGGTTCCGTTGGTGCTTGACAGCAAAACCGCGCCAACCCTTAGAGTTTTCGCCATGAATGTGTCCTTCAAACTCAACATACGCGAACCCGTATGTGATGTAACGCAATGTACGCACACACACACCTCCCCTTTCCAGCTGGCGAAACCCCTGATCCCTCGATACCACATAGCGCTCGGCAACCTGTTCGCGCATCGAGAGTTATAGTAAACAGCCGCATATTGCGGGTCTGCTAAATACCATTCATGGTGAACAGACGTATTGTGCTATTTCCGATGAGATAGGTGAAGATAAGCACGGCGGTGTTTAGAGTAAAAATGTCCTCGCGAGGGAGGATACTTTGCCCAAGGAAGGCCGTCAACGTGTTTTCGTATTCTCGATGTCTATCCTTTCCTTGCGGTGGCTTGATAGTTGTTCCCTGGACGGTGACACTGTTCATATCGTCGGATATCTCTTCATTGGAGTCCCGCAGGTATCCCATAGCTCCAGGCTGAGGAGCCGAGGAAACCAGATCCGTCCCACACAACACGACTGCTGTATCCCCAACTCTCCGGGATACTACCAAAAACGACCCGCGTTGTGGCTATCAGAATACCTCGCAGCGAGGCCCAGATGGCCGGTTAAAGTCCCTTCTTGTCCCAAGCTTTCGGGAAGGAAGGAAACAACTGCACGGCGGCCCCCCGGGTGACAAGGAATCCGACATTTAGGGGTCGTGACGCGATTTGTTTTGGACCTACCCGGGTGGTTTTGGCAATCGCCGATCGCACGTGATCCTCCGTGTGCTTCTCAACGGCCACTTCCTTCACCTTCGACCTGCGGTCGGCCCGCTCTCTCAACCGTTCGTTCTGCTTTATCTAATGATGTCGCACGAACGGCGGGGGGGGGAGGTTGCGTTTGGTTCGTGTACTTCAAAGGGCGCGCAAACGAGTTTTTCTTTTGATGAAGGCGTGACAGAGATCCATGAGCCTAAGGAAGGAAAAGCAAGTGTAGAAGCACCGCCACCGGGAGCGCGCGGGCTGAGCGGGGGCTGGGTACAGAACTCACAAGCCGAAAGAACGCTTACAACGCATGCAGAACAACTTTCCACGTGCCAGCCTGGAAGAGTTGACTTTCTACTCTGTAGCGTTTGAAACAAAGCAACGTCACCATGAGAGCAGGGGCGAACTGTCGATGTGCCGTTCGAGAAACTTCGTAGCGAAGTAATGTCTACCGCAGTATGGTCCAAATCATTATTGGTACCAATGCAGTTCCGGAAACTATTGGGTACCGGGAGGCCGTTTTGTATGCCATCTGCAGCAATCAACCATCTCGCAACACGACCCCTAGCGGAGTGTGTAAACTTCCAATACTCACGTTGAGCTTGCGAACCATCTGCATTCGTTTCCGTGCCTGCAGCTCGCGCTCGTCCCTCCCTATCTGCCAGAAATCCTTCAAAAACTCTGCGCTGTCCGCTCGCCCTTCCCCCTGCTTGTCGTACATACTCACCTAGACAGCGCAACGGCGTTTCGTATGAAAAGGGCGGCAATGTCCTTTGCATGATCAGACAATTGCTCTCCCTACTAAGTGCGTTCGAGTTTCGCATGGCTTTGTAGTTGAGGCACTGCCAGTATTGTGATCCAGGGGGGGATACTCTTCTGTGAGGAACGTGGAAGCACCCTGATGTAGAAGAGGAATCTGTTGTAGCATACGTATTGTCGGTTATCACCATGCGCACGAGAGTATCAGCCATCAAAACGACCAACATCGACACCGACATCAACAAAAATGCACCCCAGAACCACAACACCGTACCAGTAACATCAACGTCAGCTCCAGCTGCAGCAGCAACAACAAACGTACTAATAGCTCACCAAAACGCCCAGATCCCTAGGGTGCAGGAGCACTCCGAAATTCCTGCGGAAGAGCTCCTTGAACTCCGTTGGGCCTAGCGACACGCAGTCAAACCCTGCCGGCGGCGAGAGCGTGCGAAATAACGCAAGCAGACGGGGAGCGGTCCGAGAGCAATAGGTGTGCGAGTACCACGCCAAGATTTGACTCAGGGAATAAGCCAGAGATCATCGGATAGAGTGCGCGGCGTTAAAACAAGTTATTGTAGAAGTCGTGGACAGAATCTTGCGAAAAGCACCCTAACGGGAAAATGACCGTGTTCGGTGTTCCCTCAAACTCATGGGGGGGGATTGTTGACGTTTTCCTCTTTTGCAAAGTCACGTGGCCTCGAGCTTCCTAGAGTACCGTATGCAGGCTGAGAATGAGAGACTGGGGAGAGTCCAAGCTTCCTAGAAGCTCGAAGTCAAACAAACCCAGTCACGGTCAAGACGCAATCCATCATAGGGAAGCATAGGCGTTTCTTCAAGAGCTCTCCAACAATACACCGTTTGGTACGCCTTTCCGACTCAAGTACATTGCAAGCTCTCGTTCTTTACGTCGGGGGTAGGAATGTAGTCACCTTGCGGCAGGATGAGCAGACAAGCGGTGGTCACTAGGGTGGAAACCAATGTACAATATGCTAAATCTGCGGAAGTCGGATTAAGGCGCCCTGTTCGCGGAACATCACTTCACGCTTTCAATCGATCCATGATACTTGGGGTTTGGCGATGCGATAGTCATGCCGCGAACCGATGCACTAGAGAATTTTGCTGTGGGCACAGGAAGCACATGCCTGGGTAGGATTAAATTAATTTCTCATGTTGAACTCAGCGTAGGCAGCAACAGAGGCGCCCGCAAGCAACCGGGCCACGTCCAAGATTGGTGGTGTGTTCAGCAATATGACAGGCAACGAGGACGGATGAAGGAGAGAACCCTACACAGAGAATTGAAAGGATTTCTCTCACCTAGCAATGGCGTTTGTTTTTGAGGATCCCAGTTGGTGGCGACGCGCTTCATTTGCCGATTTGCAGAATCAGCCTCTGGGAGGTTGGAAATCAGTTGTTTCCGTCGCCGGTACTGCCCTCGGACGAAAGGGCGACAGTCATATCAGTGATTATAGTACAAACAAACCATCACTTTATCTTCAATACATGTGTGTGAGCATTCGTACAATCGATTTTGGTGCCGGTTTACGGGCCTTTCGGCGTGAATAGTATGCCTGACGTATCAGCCGGGGTCACAAAAGAGGGGGGCCACACAGGAGCTTTTTTGCAATGTTTTTTTATTGCCCCACCTTTCCCCCTGCAGTGCTCGCCTTTTGCTTCATTTGTTTATCAGAATACGCTGAGTGAAGACTACAATAGCCCAAACAAATGCTGGTTTGCCACACCAGTGTAGTGACCAAAGGTTTTGCAAGTGGGCATGGAGCGAAGAATGGGAGAACCCACGCTTGGTGTTCGTGAAGCGGAGCGAGGCGGGAGAAATGAGCACCACTCCCGAAGGACACCAAAATTCGACCGCGGACCGCAGAATTAAAGCCAGCCGTCGAACTCCAGAAACACACTCAAAATGTGGAATTTTCAGTATGTAACTACGCGTTAGCCCGGTAGAGTTACGCGTCATGCACAATTAATATTGTCACAGAGCGTTGGTAGAGTGTTTATTTATTGCATGGGGCAACCGTCGCGACAAGATTCGTTACGGGCGGCTAAACACAGGTGGAACGGGTTCGGGTACTTGAATGAAACGTGGACATATTTTCTGCCCGTTCGCTGCCCGTCAATTTGCAACTAGACGAGGTGGGGTACAAAGCAGGTGCCAAATTCGCAAGAATACAACGGTGAACCAACACCCTATGTTCCGTACCCGCTGAGTGCTACCAACTTTGATCGCATGGGTCTTGCTGTCACCTGCCCGACACACCGTATATGACACAAGATAACACACCCCCTGGACCAATTTTCAAAGCTCGATTACTCCATGACAAAGAGGATGCATAGACGAAAGGATACGTTTTCAGATATATAGCTCTCGACCAGACGGCGTCAACGCCGCCGTCTTCGGCCCTGCGACTGTTGCTGCTGTTGAAAAATCGAGATTTGAAAATCGGTCCAGGGGGTGTGTTATCTTGTGACATATACGGTAGTCCTACACACACATCCCCAAGTCCCGTCTTAGCCGGGCGATCCTTCATTGATGGTACGTCGAATTCGTTGCCTGTGTTCGTGCACAATGCCTCTTTGAGTGACAAGTGTATGCCTGTTTCAACCCGCTCTTTGGTTCAGTCAGTTTCTGTAGACGTCAGGACTCAGAACGATTATACTCCGTTTCCTTTTAGTGTAGGAACCCAACCTATTTTGATGTCAACCAAGTGTCGACTGATTCTGAAAAAAAACGCAAGAGCACCAGGAAATGCATACGAGACACACAAGACCAGTTGGAAGGCATCGGGACAAGCAGAAATCGTTGATTCTCGCACTGGGCGGTAGTAGAGGGGGCTCAAAACATACGTTCATGAATCTACCTGCACACGCCCCGTTTGAAATCAAGACAAAAAATCACACAATTCTAAATTCAAGTCGAAAGAGCCAAAACGGCAGGCGCCCAAATAAGGTCAGTTTAGCATTCTAACTGCACCTTGGCACTGATATCATAAGAGTACACCCTTTAGTAGCGTGGAGGGTGTGTTGGCGCGCTCAAATCTGCTTCTGTGGTGGTGATATCGAGGATCGCATTGGTACATGTAGTAATGGCCTACAATCTCGCAAATCTCCGCAAATTTGACAGGCACCAAGTGTCTTGTACTGATTGTGCTCGCCGCCACTGACCCCAACCTCCTGAACTGCGGGATGACAGCAGTAGCTGATATCATTAGTAACTGCGGGTCGACAGCAATAGCTGATGTCACTAGCAACTGCTAACGACCCGCCGTTCAGGGTTTTACGGTCCGTGGCGGGTGAGCACAAGCCGTACAAGACACTGGGTGTCGGTCGAATTTGGGTAGTTTTGCGGAGAGTGCAGGTCACAACTACGATCGATCCTCGATATCGCCACCCAAGAAGCAAAGCTGAACGTGCCAGCACACGCGACGCCTCTTCATGGTGTCCTCTACTGATATCAGTACAAAGGTGCAGTTAGAAATGGCAGGAAGGTTGCGGCAAGTTGCTTTCTTTTTGTATATTGGATTGAGTGACAATACTAAGACAGCGTCCGAGGGGTTTCGAGTTCCCCCCCTTAACAGCCCTGCTCAGGCTCTTCTCGACCAACTGGGAATCGAAGTTGCACAGCACAAGCTCCCCGTAGAACGCCAGTCATCGGTGGTTGCTTGCGCTCTCGTGCGGGTATGGGGTGATAGACGCATGAGTGGAAAAGACGACAGCTGCCGCGCGCTGCTTGACGTTGGATGAGATTAGCTGCTGTTTGGTGGCACCGTTGATGTCGGTCCTGCTTTTGTACACCATTACAACTAGGAACGCGAAGCTTCGCTTAAGGAGATGGGTGAGTACCGTGCATGTTGTAAGCTTGGATAGTCTTGTCTAAGAGGACTTGTAGACTGTCTACTGTACTGTTTGAAGTGGCAGTATTACTCCAAAACCAACAGAATCTCACTCGGTCGGGGTCCATCTCCAAGCCCGACTTCGACCGCATATACGACGGTAGCGAGGCAAAGGTGACGTGGCTCTGCAGGCTGCATAAACTGCCTGTCTCCTCTTCGAGGCCCCCATCGTCCTCTCCATCTTCCTGCCCATGCTGACCGTCGTCAGGCAATTTCCACCCCGGTGTGCTTTCTGCTGTGGGCAAAAGGGACTCGGACCAACGTCTTCCGCCCATTTCACTCCCGTCCTCCTCGCCCAAAGTACCCGCCCCGTCTCTTGGAACTCCTTCTTTCCGCGTACGGTAGACTCGCGACGAGAGTGGAGGGGTAGAGGACGTTCGCCACTGGTCATTGGTTGCAACACCCCGCGTCCGGCGCCCCGCCCCCCACTTGCACGTACAGCGGGGCAATAACTTGCGAACGGGTACCAGTTATGCCGCGCTCGCGTTACGTCGGTTCCGGGTTCCGGGTTCCGCACAGCTGGTTCTGAGCGCCTCGGGAACTTGTTCGAACGCCATTTTCGGAAAAACTGTGAGTGTGGTTGGGCGGCCGGCGCTGTGCTCTACACATCTACGCATGGGACGAGTGCGCCAGACATCTGTTGTAGGGGCCCTTGTCTTATCAACATTGATGCCCATGCGGGCCCTTGTCCACTATGGTGCCACGACGGCCCTGTTGCAGCGAGCCAAGGGAGCATGCTACGGGCAGTGCCGTCAGCAGCAACATCGGCAGCGCCAGCGGGTCCGCAGACTGATGCCTCTATCGTCCGCCTCTGCCAGTACGACTCCCGATCGAGAGGTCGGTGTGTTCCGTGCCTTGCGCTTGGTGCTCCGATACGTACTGTTTCTCTGGCAAACAGAACCCGACTTTCAGAGGATGTTCAACTTGGGAAGAAACTTGCGGAGTGTTTATGTTTCGGAGCCACGTTGCTGACGTTCGCAGGCCGACGCGAGGAGTATTTGATAGAGAGAGCGCCGCTTGCGCTCGCAGCCTCGTCCGTAGTGCGGAAGGAGCATGTGTGTGTTTTTATTATTATTAGCATCGACCGCGCTTACCGGCTGACCAATGAAAAGACGGCAGTCTTAGTGCGGTTGACAACACAAAGCACTTCTACCTGCCATGAACTGAGACCCCGTGAGGGGGCGGCATGGGTGAGGCTAAACTATCCTTCGGATCAAAGACAGAAACGGTGGCAACAGAAGAAAACTACACGCGTCTACCAAGGCTATTACCTTGTACTCGAGTTCGTTTAGGAGTACTTTCACCATTTTCCTCCTCTGTGTGTGTGTATTTCTTACGTATTGAAGTATCGACCACGGTAGTAACCCCCTGAACAACGTAAGAGCGCACACCAGGATACAAAACATGTGGAGGGTGTGGTTTTTACAATGTACACAACCTGTCGATTGGGTATCTGCTCAACAGCTACGTGTAGTCAGTCCGCGAACTCACCCATCTTGCCGTCGTCCGCTGTCGGCGGTTGCGTACACGTCTCACTCGTATTTCCATCCGGACACGGGTGTACCACATCTCTTTTGTCCCCAACATATCCGAACCTCGTGAGTCTCTGACAGCAGAATCTGTATCAGTCCCCTGCTACATCGCAACACCATGACATCATGGGAATTCTTCCCATACAAACTCGTACCACGTTCGAACCCACGAAGCCTTACGGACACGGGCATGCATGCCCGTCGACACGTGCTGGACTCGCCAAAACCGTCCCCGCTCCAGCAGCAAAAGGTCCTGCTTACCGTCCCCGAAACACGCCATGCCTCCTTTTTTTAGGCGTTTGCCGCCGTTGAAGATTCGACAACCGCAGTAGCACAACTGCGCGAGCTTCTCGATGCTGCGGGCGGGTCGGTGACGGCGCTAACGGGCGCTGGCATGTCGACCGACAGCGGCATCCCGGACTACCGCGGCCCCAAGGGGTCGTACTCGCGGGGGCATAAGCCAATGACGCACGACGAGTTTTTGTCGTCCGAGGACAACAGAAAAAGGTACACGAAAAGGAGGAAAGTAAATGAGCCGGCAAAGGGTACACGTACAGAACGAAGCGCCGGTTCTTTTGTCTGATTCCGGTTCCGTCGAGACTCTTGTTTCTCCCTAACGCCTGTCCCTTCGCGCCGGTTCAGGTTTCTTTTGAGACAACAGTTATCTGTGGAAGAATTGAATTCTTGGTGTTTTGCAAGAACTAAAACACAGAACAGTTCCATTCTCGTCCCCATTGTTCATGATTCCTTCAAACCCCGTCCCGCCTGTCGCCTGACCATGTTTGTGCAAACCCGACTCTACCAATCCTTTGATGCAGGTACTGGGCTCGATCCACGTTCGGGTGGGATAGCTTCAGCAGAGCTAGGCCAAACGAAGCTCACGTTGCGCTAGCGGGGCTAGAAGCGGCGGGAAAGGTGGATTCTGTCATCACACAGGTTTGTGCTCTTGTATTAGCATTCTGTGTTTGTTAAATGTACTTGCAGTTGGAGCGCGAGGTAAGGATTCTGTTGGTCGTATGCTGTCCTTTTTTTTTTTCGCTATTGCTTTTCTTAACATTGATTGCTCTTGTTGTTTAAGTTGATTGTGGGTTGAGGATGTAGTTTCCCCCTGTTCTGCGAAAGCCTCCTCCGCCGCTAGCGTCTTGTGCCAACATAAATCTGCAGCTCCGTTCCCTCCGTATCGCTGCTTGCTTTTATCTTCCTGCTTCGGCGGGCGCGTCACGGGAATTTTCAGAATGTGGACGGGCTTCACCAAAAGGCCGGAAGCCGGAACGTTGTCAACTTGCATGGTAGAAACGACAAGGTGCGCGTTCGTTCGGCACACCCAATCCGCTATCAATGTTGGCACGATGCCTCTATGTTTTCTTCGTCGTTCTTTCACAACCAAGCCCACTTTCTTCTCTCTTTTCATGGAGTAACCGGTGCAGGGGGTGTGGTATCTTGCGTCACCTCTCTCTCTTTTCATGGAATAACCGGTCCAGGGGGTGTGGTATCTTGCGTCAGCTGATCACCTCGAACGGCTCGCGTGTTTTTGCTCGGACGCACGTCAGAGCATACATACCCCCCGAGAGCACGAGAGCTCTTGAAAACAGTGGCTTGTGGTTAGAGTACGCCGAACCCCACCATGGGCCGTCCGTGCTTTTGTGAACCGGCTTCAGGCCACGATTATAGTCGCTCGTGGTTTCGTCAATAGTGTGGACCTCCTGTTGCCACTAGTCACGGCGTGCAGCACCACGTATCCCTGGTTGGCAAACACGCCTCTTGCCCCGTCCGGAGTTTTGATGTAGGGATGTGACGATCTCGACAACACCCACTTCTGCTTCATGGTTGTGAGAGAGACGTCCCCCCAATCTGGATTCACCTCTTCCTTCATACGACTTGTTGAAATTCCCCCCGCGCTAGTTTATTCGCTCGATCCTTGTCTGGGCGGAGAACACCCGGCCTCTGTCGTCCTTTATTTTCGCGTCGCGCGTGAATGTATGCAGGTCTGGGGGTATGTCGGGAAGGTTTCTGGCCTGCATGAGCCTGGACACACTCTCCCCCCCCCGCGGTCCCCGCCCCCCGTACAAATCAGGTGGGTTGCATGTCGTGCCGATTCGAGTCTAGCCGAGACGCCTACCAGGAAAACCTCTCGCGAATCAATGCCCGGTGGATAGCCAAGCATTCACCGGACTTGGAGGGAACACCTGCCGGAGTGGCAACGACGCCCGGGGGCACCGCAGTTGCGAAAACGGCGAGGGCCGGGGGGGACCCCGACATGCGATTGAGGGCCGACGGGGACGCGGATGTGGAACCAGGGGCATACCTCGGGGAGTTTGTTGTGCCTGCGTGTCCGCGGTGCGGAGGGATTTTGAAGGTGAGAGTGGAACTAGGGCAGCTCATGGGCGAATCACTCCTGTTGGTACGAAACAAACGCTGTCGATGGAAAGAAGTTAAAGACTAGTTGGTCGTGTGATTCGTGCAAACGTGTGTATGACCTCGCGGTTGGCAAAGTGGTTGGAATCGGGGGGTTTTACGCCGCCTGGATGCATGTGAAACGTAGATGTACAAGGGGGTAGTAACGTGATAGTTTAGTAGACCTCATCCCTCCATGCCATGAGCTGTACAGAATCAGGCATGTGCGGCATGCATCTGTTGTAGTAGAGTTTGCGACAATGCGCAAGCAATTAATTTAGCACAAACCACCCCCACTGATATTTACCACGAACTGTTCCGCGATATCACCGCTCCAAGGAAAGTCGGGATCAGCACTGAAGTGAAACGATTATTCTCTTGTGGTTGACTGGTCAGACAATGTGATAAGGCTATCAACACCTGTTTATATAGTGGCACCATTGTGAGGAGGTTCAGGGAGAGGAGATGCACCTCGGGGATTCCTGCCGCTACTTGTCGCGCCAAGAAAGGTTGTGATTTCGTTGGTGGTTTAAGTTTGCAACCCCTAGAGCCCATACGCATCCCCCCTTCCACTCTCCCAACTCTCTAGGCTTTTGCTGTCAACATTGTGCACATTCCCCCGGTAGGGAACACACTTGTTCATGGATAGTCTCAAGCAGTTGGCCGTTTGTCCCCTTCCCTCCCCCGTGCGAAGCACACCATACCCGCCTTGCGCGCCCACCCGCCCCTACAACCCTCCCTCGCGCAATATACAACGTACCCATATACAACGCCATGCATGTGCCTTTTATCGATACCCTACCACACTCCCACACTTGGTTGTTGTTTGCTCTTGCCCTTCCTTCAAAATGTAGCCGACCGTGGTATTCTTCGGAGACAACATCCCGAGACAGCGGGTGGAGGACACGTATCGCATCGTGGACGAATCGGAGCTGCTGATTGCCGCGGGATCGTCGTTGCAGGTGTGTCTGGCGCACTGCCGCGTTACCCCTGGACTCTCCCGGCAAGTTGAAAACGCCCGGCAAGTTGAAAACGAGAACGAAGCGGGCTCTCCTCCGTGATGTCCTTTGGCGTTGCTCGAGCGTGTCCGGCTGCGAGTCTTGGTTTTGTTGCAGTAGTGGTCCCTCTATAGTAGTGCCGGTAGGTCCAGCCCCTTGGACCGGCATCATTCCGGACACCCAGCAGTATTCAGAGCATGAAAAAACTTGAGTGTTCCGTCCGTGTCACGAGATTGCACCGACATTACACAGGGCGACCGGCGTTATAGCGTGACCACAACTGCTGTACCCCGAGACTGTTCGGCGACAGAAGCATTACGTCTGCGCCCTCAGTCCTCTGAGCAACGCATGTCGCTCCATGCTTCGCCTTTTAGGGGTTTCTTTAGGGGAAGCCAGCCGCTGATACGGAGCACCGCCATGCGCCTTCCTTGCCACTGCAGCAGTCGTACGCGTCCGACGCTTGCTGGGTCTTGTGTGAAGCATTCCTCTCGTCGAAAGGGGGCATTTTAGTCCGTGTACATGTGCGGCGAGTTTAACGGCTGTAGGAGAGAACCACGGGGAGGCATCAACCTCATCGACCCTCTCGAGAAGAAGGCAGACAGACTGCCCGTTGTTGGTCGACAGCACAATCCGCACAAGTAGAGCTTTGAGCGTTTAGCACTGCTGATCGACATTCGCACGGTAGGGAGGGGACCCCCGGCTGTCTTGACCACCCACCACCAACACGCCTGTCTGTCGGACCCCTCCAACATGGCTTATTTCTCTAGGTATACTCGGCGTATCGCCTAGTAAAGCGGGCGGCTGACGCGGGCAAGAAGGTTGTGGTGATAAACCTAGGGGAAACGCGTGCGGAGCGGTCCGGCCTGGACATCCTTAAGGCAAGCCGCCGCCGCTAGAGCCACGCAGATATATGTATATTTGTTTGGAAAATTTACGCCCGATCACGGGAAGACTACCCGTTCGAGGCACAACAAACCACGGTCGAAGGAGATGTGTCTACAGTGAGTGGAGAAAATTTATTTAGAAAGTGCACTATACGTACAATCACCGAAAGATAAACCAGTTCGAGATATAACCACGGTCGAAGGGAATGTGTTGAAGTGTTTACAGTGGTGAATGGGAGAAACCGAGACACTGACAGTTGTTTGTATTTTTACTTCTGTTAAGTCAGAGCTAAAACTGGGGCTGGATTTACAAGCGAGACTCGCGCCTGTCCCGGGGATTGAGGTTGTCTTGGGGGCGCAGGTGGACACACCTGACGTTTTGTTCTTCACCCCGTCGCCAACTGGCAGTGTTGGAAAGGTGCACGCCAGCGTGCGTCTGTAGCTGCCTGCATAACAGCACCATCGACGCTATTCCAATCTAGCTCGTTGGGACAAGTCCTTCAATGCTTTGTTGGTTCCCAAGACAAGAACTGTCGTTTCCGTCGTGGCTCTTGGTTTTCCGTACCTCTCAACACAAAACAGATGCTTACGCGTACGAAACGCCCTTTTTCTGGCTGGGTCGGTGTCGTTCAGCCTTGAACCGCTCGCCCTTGCGTCGCTGTTATTGTTCCGATATTGGCCGTGTCGGTACCTCGTCGTATAAAGGCGTGATGGTTCGAACAGAGCCTGCGTGAAAGCGTCTGTGGGCTTGTGATCAGAAGAAATGCCTTAGTCAACATCAGGGCCCGTCCATGTGGAGGCACAAAACACCGCGCGTGTGCATGTACGAAATCGCCGATTTTTCAACAGGTGGAAGCCGGAGTCAGCAACGTTTTGCCGAAGTTACTCCTCTAGGCTGTTAGGGGGGCAAGCCACGCCGGCCGGCTGCTTTGGAAAGCCCACCCCACTATTAGTATCATACCCGCTCGAGAGCATTTATTTGCCGCCTCACGTTCCGATTAGTCTGGGCTTCAACGCTGGCGAGGAGGCGGCGGTCGCGTTCATCTGAGCACACCTCAACGGTGTCGGTGAAGATAATTATTGAGTCGTGAGTCCCACACGTGCGCGTGCGTGTCGTACTTGCTCACCTGGGCGGAGGCTGTGCCTTATTATTTCGGGTTCGGGTAACAGTTGGGGGGGCGGTCTAGCGACCCCTAGTGTCACGACGAAATGTGGCCGCTGTTCAGGGCAGGTCGCAACACCGAACTACTCATTATGTGGCAGTTTTATTTCCGGGGTGCGGCGGTTCGACGTGGTTTTGTGGTAGCTAAACAGGGCTGTCGCTCAACACGGGGTCGCTAAACAGGGCCCCCCACTGTTATTGTTCTAGAACTGTGTTGGCGGGGTTATACGAGAAACATACTCTTGTTCTGCCGTGTCTCTGGTATCTCGTCTTCATACAGTCGTCCCTCGGTTGAAGACACACACATAACTTTCCGTTCAACCAGGTGTCCTCAAGCCGGGGCAGTGTCGAAAAGGTTGATACCCCTCCTTGTGTTGGTACACTCTGCGAGCCACCATACATTTGGATAAAGTTGTCCTTAACCGGGGGAGTGTCTAAAAAATATGGCGTCCTTCACCGAGGGATGGCCGCACATACAGACGTCCGTTCCAAACAGAGACCAACCAGCGGGGCAAGTGTGTCGAAGAACGGCGTAGGAAGGGGGAAGAAAAACACCGCAAGTCTACGGAGAACGATGTGATGGAACGATAGGGGGTGCAACCACCACCACACCCCCAACCGAGGTGGTGTTTTCCCGTTTGCTGTGCCCGTGATCACACCGGAGTGATTCCGTTTGCTTGCGGACAACGGTGGCCTGCGGCTCTGTGGCGAACGGGCGTGCTTCTCTCGTTTCTCATGGCGAGGGTCAAGGGTTAGTGTCCCCTTCTCTCTTCGACACTTGAATCGGCGGAGCTTTCATGGCTCCAGACACACCGTCCCAGAGATGGAACACGCTACATCATTATCACGCTTTTAAAGGGTAGACCGGGCAAACGAATCACCGAGTTCCAACGATTCCAAAACAACGGTACACTTTTTCGTGCCAGGACAAGAAGCGACATGGCGTACGATTCAAATACAACAATGTTGGGTGCCAGAAGAAGCGATGTGCCCCCCAAGACCCGCGAGTCGCTATAATATCCAAGGCCACCGAGCCGTGCGTACCACCCGGCATATTCCGCTGCACGCACCCCGAAGGCCACCAACCAACCTCCCAGGCCGTGTGCCGGAAAACAGATCGGCGGCGTGCTTGATAGCAGCTCGCCAACGGCGCCATCTCAAACCCTCTATTTGCTAGACAGAGTGGGTTGGGAAGGGAAAGAAGGAGCTTCGCAACCACATGACAACAGGCTGCCTGTTGGCAAGGGAAAGAAGGAGCTTCGCAACCACATGACAACTGGCTGCCTGTTGGCAAGGGAAAGAAGGAGCTTCGCAACCACATGACAACAGGCTGCCTGTTGGCAAGGGAAAGAAGGAGCTTCGCAACCACATGACAACAGGCTGCCTGTTGGCAAGGGAAAGAAGGAGCTTCGCCACCACATGACAACAGGCTGCCTGTTGGCAAGGGAAAGAAGGAGCTTCGCAACCACATGACAACAGGCTGCCTGTTGGCAAGGGAAAGAAGGAGCTGGGCAAGCGCTTACAAACAGGGTGGCTAGGTATCATCCTAGGAGGAACCAGATGTTGCGAGCCTCGGCGGCCGCCTGCCGTATCGCCCGACGGTCGTCGTCCAAGGGGCTCCGCAACCGTCGCGTAACCTGGGGGGGGGGGGGGGGGCAAAGTCAGTTATACATGGGAAAAGCGGGGAAGTAAGAGGGGGGGGGGTATTTTGGCTACAATATACATTTACCAAGAAAAAAAAAACGCTAGGTAGACCGAGAGGGCAACTCTTCGCCTACGATTCGCCTGAAAAAGGTCATATGTACCGTTACACCAGAGTAATTTTGATGAGTACGGTGGCTAGCGAAGTGGGTCACGAACGCCGAAAAACAAAGAGGGGGGGGGGGGGGGGCGTTCCCTCCCTCTCTCCGTCGCTGCATAGCCGGAAAAAAAGGTGTCGAGATGTTCAAGGCACGGTGAAGAGACTTGACCAACAGCCAACAGACAGCGAACGGTACGGTAAAACCACATCAAGGGAGCCATATGCGGTCTCCCTCAGGCGAAGAAAACTCACCAGCACGTCGCATTAAGTGACACAAGAAATTCGCAAAAAAAAAAAAAAGTAACGTCGGTATCAGGCGTCGCCCCACCGAGCGGTGTGCTCGGAGAAGGGAAACAAAACCCCCCGCCCCGTGAAAACGGCCGTGTGTATCTGTCACCATCATCAACTAAATCTGTCAAGACGATCAACTAATCTGTCAAGACCATCAACTACCCTGTCAAGACCATCAACTACCCTGTCAAGACCATCAACTACCTGAGTCTTGAAGGGGTGTAGGCGAGAGTACGGCAGCGCTGTCAAGGCCGTGAGGCACCGCACGGCCCTGAAGCGCTCCATCGGCCCGTTTCTTCCTCCCCGCAAGCTGCCGTCGACGCCTGGTCCCTGTGCATCGGAATGATTCACTCGACCCCCTGTTGATCTTCTTCTGCTTCCGGTTCGCGCCTCCGCCAGCGATAGGAGGAGCGGTATCACGGACGACAGGTGCTGGTTGAAGGCGGTCAAGTCGTCTCTCGACAGGACCTGGCGTGACGGAAAGCGGCGAGAAAGAGCGGTCAACGAGGCAGTAGCTTTCGCAGGGTTGTTCGTATGATGTAAACATGTTGGATAAAGCATACAACCGGGGAGGCTGGGATAGGGGTAGGGTTAGTGGAATAGGGTCTGCGCCCCCCCCCTCCCCTCTGTTCTCTTTCCTCATTGACTTCTTAATCGCGCGCAGGCGGTCCCAACGAGGGGGAAGGGGCTCGTATTTATTTTCATGTTTTTTTATGTGATGGGGGGCTGGCTGACTCCTGTGAAGCTCGCCAATCATCACGGGGATTTGTCGGCCTCCATGTTCCTAGAACTTTCTCACGGATGTGGCCATTTTTCACAACAACTGCATATTGGAAGGCGGGGGAGCGGGGCAGCGGTGGGGTCGTACAGCGGCCGAACAGCAATTAAGCTGTTAGCAAAAAATAGGGTATGTTTCCGGCAACGGCGGTTGGTCCCTGTCCAGAACCCCGCTTCACAAGCACACAAAAAACAAGCACGCACGACTTTTGTCAGTTGGACCCACGAAGACAGAGCCCGTCCGTGAAAGCCGGGGAGCGAACCATGAACGAGATTTGCTTGCGGTACCGACAGCAAACGCTCATGGATAGAACTGGCGTTGCATACGCATACATGTATGTATCAGAAAACAAAAAACATAGTAAAAATGACAATTCAACCCTGGACCGACGCAGGTCCCTCTGTCAAGACTGGGGGAACGACACACGGAAGGGAATGCCGTTGCCGTGAGAGTTGCGGCACCGACAGCAAACGCCCGTGAATAGCACCGACTTCGTTCATCTGCAAGAAACGAAAGAGCAACAAAATCCCATCGTCCCATGCCTTGCAAGAAATCATGCCAGGAAACACCGTACCAGCTCACCCAGCATCCGTGCAAAAAAAAAAAAAACGATGCTGAAATTTTTCCGCGGGCCTGACCTGAAACGTCTCCAGCGCCTCTGCCTGCAGCGGCTGGTAGTCCGACCTCAATGCCTGCACCACGGCTGAGACCGCCGTGTCCCTCTGCTGCTGCTGCTGCGAGAGCGCCTCGAGCGGGACGCCTCTCACCACGCGCATCAGCGCCAGGAGCGCCGGCACGCGCAAGCCCGCCGACCCCCCGCCGCCGCTACCGCCGACGGTGGTGGCGTCCGTGGCTGTTGCCTGCTGCTCCCCCATGCCCTCGTCGCAAGAGGAGTCGTTATCCTCCTCGCCGGCGGTGCGTGTCCTCGCCGGCCCCCGTGCCGCCTGCAGCAGCTTCGGGAACGTCTGTTGACAGCGTGGGGCGTACGTGAGGACGAACGTTGCCTATTTCGGAGTATAGACGCACCGAGATGCATTGGGGGGACTTCCGTTCTGCTGCCCGCCCCGTCGAATCAATGCACTACTACGGTGGAAAAACAAAAATGGGCATCAGAGAGTGTCGTTGGCTCGCTGAGCCGGAGGTTGCGGGCCAAGAGCCTCTGTTCCACAACTAATTCGGGCTCTGCAAAACGCGCGTGCAGGTGTGCGAAGGGACCTGCGACCGCATGCATTAAAAGCACCTGGACGAAAAAACGCTGCCTCCATAACGGAGAAACCCTTGCCCCGCCGCCGCCGCCGCCGCCGCCACTGTCCACATCCGCCCGGAGGACCTCTCCGTCGTCTCGCAGCGCCACGCCGAAGGCAGCCGCGGCTGCCAAAGCGCGAGGGCTCGGGGTGTCGTCTCCAGCTCTTGATGGACCCTGGAGACGTTGGGGGGGGGGAGGGGAGAGATGGCGATGGCTTAGTGTTGTGCAACGCTGGGCTGTCGTGCTGTAGCACCGCGCTGGAGTTACTGTGGTGCTTGCGGTTATGAACGCGGGGTGTATTTTCCTGATTTGGAGTCGGCCACAACAAGACCAAGCACAACATAAAACGACGGTCAACGATATTCGTCGAAACCTACAAGCTTGCCCGTGGCAAGACTTAACACTGCTGCTTGAAAAACGACACCCATGAAGATATACGCGGACATCAACCAAGCACACACACAACAGACGTCAACCCATTGTTGGCCAAATGTTACGGAAAGTCGGGAACGACCAAAAGCGAGCAACCATCGTGCGCACACACACACATCATTGGTCACATCTTCAAAAAGTCGGGAACGACCAAAAGCAAGCAAGCAAGTCCCTTGCACCAAGAAGTACGTACATCAACGCAACGTTGGCCATATCATAAAAGTCGGGAACGACAAAAAAAACTAACAACTATTTCCCAAGCACTAAGAACATGCGTCAGCATACACATCATTGGCCAAATCTTAAAAAGTCGGGAATGACAAAAGAAAGCGAGCAACACTCCATCCATGCACCGAGAAGGTACGTCAACAAATCGTTGGCAAAAAGTTGACCTCACAAAAAAAAAACGAGCAACCATTTCCCGTGCACCAAAATAAACTCACTGCGATAAGCAGGCCGCAGAGCAGACCCAACAGCTCCGAAAACGCGTCCCCGATCCCCCCCCGCATCGCCACCGCCTTGAGGGTCCACGCCAGGCATTGCACCGGCCCCTCGCCAGCCGCCGCCGCCGCCCCGTCCACATCCATGGCCCCTTCCCCCTCGCCGATAAACGCTTCCGTCAAGGCTGTCACCACCAGAGACACCGCAGAGTCGAACTCCGCACCGCCGGCGAGCTTGTTGAGCACGGCGGCGAGGCACTGGCAGCAAGGGGCACGGCGGGCACTAGCGGCTCCGCCGCCGCCGCCGCCGCCGCCGCCGCCGCCAGCGGCGAGGGGTTCTTCAATCAACCCGGCCGCTCCCTCGGCGAGGGCACTGGAGAGAAGGGACGGCACCGCCGCGGCCGCCGCCCCTCCCGGCCCCCGCAGCGCCTTCGAGTCCAGGCGCACCGCTCCCATCACCGACGCCAGCACCGGCAGCAGAGCGGAGTGCTTCTCTATCGCCCCCGCGACTGCCCCCCCGCCGCCACCGACGCCAGCGGCGGACGCAGGAGACGGAGAGGGCAGGAGGATAGAAAGTAGGGAGGAGAGGAGAGCCTCCTGGTCGTCGGCCGGCGCCGCCTGTGTGCAGGTCCTCGCGGTCGAGACCACCGCCGCCAGCGCGCCGTGGCTCAAGGCTGAGGCCCCCGCCCCCGCTGATCGGCCGCCGCCGCCGCTGCCTCCTGCCACACCAGCCGTCTCAGCGCTGCTGCTAGTGCCCCCCTCCTCCGGACCCGACAGCGACGCGTCCAGCGCGGCTAGCAGGAGCGGAAGGCCCCAAAGGCCATCGCTACCGGCGCCGCCGCCGCCGCCGCTGCTGTCCTCAGATTTCCTCTCCTCTTTCGCCGCCGTTGGCGGAGCCGAGGTCACCACCGCCCCGTCCGCAGCCTCCGGAGGCGGGGCGGCGGTAGCGGGGGGGGGGCAAGAAGGCCAGGGGAGGGGCGGAGGGGCAGCCCCACGGACAAACGCAAGGATCTCGTCGCCGTGGTGCCCCCGCCTGGCGCCTCGCTTTAGGGGGTCGTCCAGCGCTCTGAGGGCGATCTCGGCGCCGGGGGTGCAACGAAAAAACGGCCGCTCGGAGGCTGCTGCCAAACCGGGGTCAGCTGGGGAGGTGCACGCTGGACCCGAAAGCGTTGGGAGGGGGGGGGGGGGGGGGGGGGC